CTTGTAGCACTTAGCCTTACAAATGTGTGCTGTTTGTCTGTTTGCCTATCTCTATCTCTTTCTTTTATCAGGCCTAAGCCATCAAGATTATTCCTCCATCCTTCTCTTCTTCTCCCAACACAAAAGTCAATCGGATGTGCGCCCCCTTTTGGCCTCTCTGAGCTCCTGTACCATTCCTCCCGGTGCCCCTGTCCCGGCAGACACACACACGGCTCACCTATGCCCCCTGGTGGTTGTCTCCTGTCACTGCTCCATTGGCATCTGCTGCTGCTGCTGCTGCTGTTGGGACGTTTGGTCTTTACAAATCTGCCCTCTCTCTCTCTCTCCTCTCTCACATTCTTCTCACTAACTCTTGTGTCGTTCACGTTTGTAAAAATGACTAGTTTAGAGTAATTAAAGGGATAGCCCAGTTTTTTGTAATTATGATATCTGTGGAAATTGGTAGCTAAATTTTCTTGCAAATAAAAATTTAATGACTGCAACTAAACAAAAGAGCAGTGCTTATCTACAAGTAACTTCATCTAACATTGCATGAGAATACTTTGTGGATTCCTAACTTTAATATTTTACAATTAAAATCTGTGTTTCTTTATCCTTGGGTAATAGTTACAAAACATAAACACCGTTGCCATGGTAATTAACGATTCAAAACTATCCTAACTAATATATAGATACAGAAAAGAGAAATTATCTGACCGAGGAAACCCGTATGTCCAGTGTTTTCATTCACCAAATCATACAATTATAATAAAACAACATTGTAGCTTTAAAAATGACAAAAATTAAAACACAAAATCCTGGACTATCCCTTTACGTAATCATTGTGTGTGTAACCATTATGAACTATGAGAATTCACTCACACATGTCATTAGTGAGGTTCATTGTAAATGTAAAAAAACAGTGTAATATATAAGACTAAGATGTCATAGTTACCATAGACATTTCTCCATAAAACTCGCATCTAGTGTCAAAATAGGTCAGTATTTATTTAACTTTTATTGGTTTTAAGTTACAGCCAAATTATATTAACAAGAGGTGGCTTTTAACTTGTGCCTGTATTGGGTCAATATTATATTACTTTTATCAAATGCCTAAACTATGGTACTGTATATGAAACAAATTATTATTATTATTATTATTAATATTAAACATTATTTTAGTCGATAAGACGAGAGAGTTATAAGAAAGGGAGGTTGGTGTTTTTATAGATCGTTTATTTGAAATTTTGTATGATTTTGTTTACATTTTTTGGTATTGCTTTTTATGTTTTGTGGCTGAATAAATATGCAGGCGTTTGATTGCAATGGCATACTGTAGCTATGGTGACGTTGCCGTGGTTACTGTAACTATAGATACAGTGGGGAACATCGCATTGGATTAATCACCGAGGGGTAATAAAATAATAAAGGGACAAAGGCGGGCCCCAGCATGATAATACCAAGTCAAACTACATAATTTTTTAAGCTGCTAATCTAATTCTAGCAGTTTTAAGTATTAATTTCAACTTTAAAGTCACTCCATGTAATATTTTACCCAAAAAATAGAGCCTTTTCAATTGTCTCCAGCTATAATATTCCACAATTTACTGTAAAACACATAGACATTCATTATATTTCCTATATTATAATTATTTCTCTGGTTAAACTTATTTATGTCCAAGGAGAATTTAAGTATCTTCGTATTTCCTCCACCTCCAGAAAGTTACACGGTGTTGCTTTAAAGTCAGATCTGAGTCAACTCTACAACAATCAAACAAATCAATTAAAAATATTGAAGTTTACATTTTAAAATGATCTGTTTCCCCTACTCCTCATTGTCTCTGCGGTTAATGTAACCATGGCGACGTCTCCATTGTGCCGTCTTCATAATTCGCTTTAACGTCCTTGGGTTTTTCAATGGTTTTCAACACAAAAAGTTCACACATTTCAAAGGGAATCAGCAACACGAGCTGAAGAGACTGTAAAAGCAGGAACACGGAGCACAGATACTGGCACAAGAACGTTTTAGATATAAATATTTGGTTTCAATGGTGTTCGATATCTTACCTAGTGTCCCATTTACTGTTCGCTAGATCATAGTTCAAGAATTCAGGCTCCTGTACTGTGAAGTTTAGGTTATATAACATGTAAATTGAAGTAGATTTGTGGACAAGAATGCAGAGTCGTAAACATTTGCTGGGGTTTATTTGGTGAGAATTCAAATGAGAAAAGGCCCTTTGAGATTTCTTTTCTATTTGGCCTCAGTCGTACCATATGGCAACCAAAATTTGATTTTTCTTGAGGACCAAAACACCAAATTATAGCATAAATAATTTGGCCACCATGTTCAGTTCAGTATTTTAAGAACATATCAGCATTACACTTCAAAGTTTGATTTGAGCGTGTCCCTTTTCAATGAGGTCGACATATGGAAGTTATGTCTGCTTGCCTTCTCAGCACAAAATAAAACGCAAAACTTTAACAATTTCACTGTAAAGTTAATTACTTAGTACCTTTTAACATTGTGTGTCTATACAATTAAGATTCTCTGATAAATAGCCTAATTAAACTATTAGGTTAAGATATTTTTGTCTTTTAAATCTCAAAATGTACCACTACATTAACTTTCTACGTGCAGTTTCCTGTCCTAATTGAATGAAATAGGCCAAAGATGTTCATTTTGTCTTATATACTTTAACTTCTTGGGTTCTTTTTAAAGACAAAACCGTAAAGTGTATTTACTTTGTTGACATGTTTCGGCTGCTCGCTGCAAGCCAACTTCAGAACTGTCCCCAGTGTTGGTGGTGACGTGTCGTATATCAGCTCTTGTTACTTCCGCCATATCAGACCACTGCAAAAGAAATAACCACATTCTGGATTTGACGGGGCTCGGGTCATTGGATCGGAAAACAACAAGTTCAAAGGCTGGATCAGGGAGGCCACTGAAATGAGGAAACGAGGCCTGGACAGCATTAACCGTGATGACGACGCTTCTTCCTTTCACACCTGGGACACCCTCCTCCAGAGAACACCGGCGACGGGAGGCGTGGTCAGTCTGAGCGACCTGCGGGTCCATCAGGTCTGACCACGCCTACAGGAAGTAACAACAGCTGATATACGACACGTCACCATCAACACCGGCCACACTTCTTTTTTTTTTTTTTTTTTTTTTTTTTTTTATAATTTGTCAAGTTTGAGGGATTGGATACCCAGCACAACCACTACAAGACAGACTTAACTAAACACGCATACAAAAAATAAAAAAATAAAAATAATAATAATAATAAACTAATTAATAATAATAATTTAAAAAAATGTGTGGGGGGGTTGTTTGTAGTACAGAGTTTCTCAATGCAGTGTTTGCATCTGTGTATTTACATTTTAAGGCTGTCAAATCAAATTTACTTTTATATATTTCCTATTCCCTTCCCGTATTTTTCATTCGTTTGTTTTTGGTCACACTTCTGAAGATGGCTTGCAGCAGCAGCAGCCGAAACATGTCAACAAGATAAATACACTTTACTGTATTGTCTTTAAAAACAACCCAAGAAGTTAAACTATGACTGAAATAGGATTAAGGTAGTATTTCTTCCATCTTCACAGTACAGGGCCCTGATTTCTACAGTAGTTTTAGTGTGTACTTGTGTAACGTGCTTCAGTCACAGTGTCCACTCTGGTTTACCCGTAAACGGTTAATGCATTTTGAACACAAAGCTCAATAGAGTGTCTTGCCTTTTTCTCACAAAATTGTAAAACATTTGGTGATTTCTTTGTGCTTATTCCAGCCACTAAAATCCCAGTGTTTCATATCAGATGTTATTTGAACTAACTGAATGTAATTATGGACTTGTAATTGTAAGGCTGTATACATAGATCACTATTATGGCTCTCTTGGTATGCTATTTGCCTTCTCCATTCCTTTCGATGATACACCTATCTCTTCAATGCAAAATAAGTGACTATGTTGATCACATAAATGACAATATTGTGTTAGTGGAATGCTTATTTATTGAGCTGTCTATTTCAGCGTATATATACATAGTGTGGCTTCAGTTACCTAAAGTGGACGAGCATTAATGGTAAGGTCTATAAGCACTATTGTAGAAAGTAGGACTGCGTTAAATATGTACCATTCTGCATTGTGAAGACTATTGCATTGACACTTGTTGGTATTCTCAAATAAAGTTTTTCATTTGTGAATCGTGTCTGTTTTGATCCAAATGTAGTGGCTCATTTTTACATAAAAACGTTCCCTCTGCTGGAGGTTAAGATGCACGTATGAAACTTATGTTCTCTTCGTTATGAGTGGATGGATGGTAACTTTAATTTTTACATTTAAGACACACCTTTACAGCCACATCTGCTTAGTTAATACTTTGATAAACTAAAGCTGCACAAGGTAACTTTTCTAGTCAGTCTGCCAACAACTCACCTCCATGACGATTATAGTTCTTTGCCTAAAATGTTTCACGCCATGGCATTTATTCATTTTTTTAATAAATATAAAACGTGTATTCTTACTGTGAGCTGGGTCATCTCTCCACAGAATTGACTTGTAACTAATTAAGCAAGTGGCAAAACATGGATAAGTTTAGTGCTATATAAAAAAATTAATTAATTAAAAAAACACTATTGAGGCAAAGAAGTGGATGTCCATCAACCAGAAAAGTTACATAGTGCACCTTTAAAACAGTAAAATATTAAAGAATGTACCGTATTTTTCGAACTATTCGCAATTTGTTTTTTTTATGATTTGGGTGGTCCTGCGACTTATAGTCCGGTGCGACTTATATATGTTTTTTTCTTCTTCATTTTTTAGCTGGAGCGACTTATCGCCCGAAAAATGCGATATTTATAGATGAATAGCATTAAGCATCTGTGTCTCATTACAAAAAAACCTGGCTGTTTATCTGTGTGTGATCTGAAAATTAAAAGTGGGAATTTAATATTTTGTTTGCAAACTGATTTCACGTGTGCAGTGTTGTAGTGCAGATATCTTGAAGTTGCGCGTTTGTCCCCAGGATGGCAGCGGTGCTCTTCAGCGCAGTGGTTCTCTGGGAAAGTTGAGAGACGTCCTGAGGCGCAGCAGTGAACTTTTAGTGAAGAAACTCCAAGGCAACGGGCCGCCTGAGCCACGAAACACCAAGTAAGCACTGGAGCACGAAGGGTTAAACGCAAACATACCTGAGACTGAGACTTAGACAAACTTTATTGATCCTCAAGGGAAATTATTTGGGCACATCTGCTCACACATCACATTATAATATGATAACAAAGAGCAAAAATATAAATAGTAGGGTGTAACGATATCCAAGTCTCAGGATACGATATTGTCACGGTATGAACCTCACGGTACGATATTTATTGCAATGTCGTGGGAAAGCTCACAATATGTTGGTTAGGCTCACGATTAGAGATGTAACAATATCCATATCTCTCTGTATGATATTTTCACGATATACATCTCACTGTACGATATTTATTGCGATATTTTACTACTTTTTCCCTCTTAAAATTCCTTGACAAGACTTAATCCAAAGAACTGAGACTTAAAAGTGCTTAGAACTGTTATTTCCTTCTTGTAGTCTACACTGAAATGGAGCAAAGGATCATGGTCTATGTAGTTCCCTCTGTTTTTTTAGCTATTACTGCACCATAACTCTTAATTTATGCAAAGAGACTTGTAATTCGATATATTGTGATGGTCCACGATATTATTGTGAGAATTTTGACAATATGATATCATGATATTTCAGTTTTTGTTACATCCCTAATAAATGGTAATAATAATAAAACCATTTAAGACAGAATAAGAGCGGGCAGTAGCTCAGTTGGTAGAGCATTAGTCCACTGATCTGAAGGTTGGTGGTTCGAATCCAGTTCTTGATATAAACATCACAAGTTGAGTGGTCAGATCTACTGACTCACAGGTTGGCTGGTGTGATTCCAGCTCCCACAGATGTATGCTGTCGTTGTGTCCTTGGGCAAGACACTTAACCCACCTTGCGTGTGTGAATGTGTGTGTGAATGGGTGAGTGGTTCCTTGTTGTAACGCGCTTTGAGTGCCTTGAAGGTGGAAAAGCGCTATAGAAAAATGTGACCATTTACCGTTAAGGTAATAAGACCTACTTTTAGTCAATTTTTCCATGCCATACATCATGATATTTATAATTATATGATTATTTTTCATGTTACGGTTACATAAATCTTGTCACTTACCGATACATGACCTAATATGGAGTAAACTAATCATTTAGGTCGGTGTTTATCAAACTGTGGTACACGAGCTCCTCCAGGTGGTATGTGGATTCTTCTGCAGCTCAAATTCTTTAATCAATTTAATGTGTTCTTTTTGACTACGCTTTGTTTAGAATTAGAATAGCAATAGTGTAATCCAATTTTAGACGCAGAATTAGCCTTAGATTTAGTGACAAAAGGAGAAATTCCAAGATGTGAAACATATTCGACCAAATAAACTTTTATCCAGCTGACAAATTGAATTTCTCCTTTTGCCATGGATTCTTCTTGGACAACTGAGGGTTTTTTCACACACCTTAGATCTAGTGGCACTAGGAAGGCCAAATATTTTCTTAAGCGGTACTTGGTGTGAAAAGATTGTGAATCGCAAAGTAGATTTTTAATTAGTGGGGTTAGTGTAGAATAGATAATAAAATCAAAAATTGTAATTGTTATTTTATTAGTTCTCCTTATTGGTTCTAATTATTTTTTCCACTCACTATCCTCCACAAAACTTCTACTGTATATTGACTAAACTTTATTTCTCTTCCAACAGCATGAAAAGAGCCGCTTCACTGAATTATTTGAACAAGACCAGCGACGACTCATTCCCGGTAAAAATGTTTGATTCATAAACTCAAATCTTGTACAGTCAGTCTTTTTTTTTTTTTTTCGCTCATTCTGAATCGTCTTCTTTCTCTCAGCCTCGAGGGAGCGGGAACTTCAGGGAGAGCAGAGGCCTGAGCTCCAGCACGGTGGACCTCTACACAGGAAACTAAGCGGTGCATTTTATTATGAGCTTTTAGCATCGACGAGGCACCAACTTCAACACTACCAGACATAATAACTCCTATGGATCAACAAAATCAGACCCAAAGACTTTTCCTTTCAACGACCCAAAGATATGACAGCGATACGAACCATGCTGTTTTTGTTTGTACTTTTTATGAAAATATATACAGCACTGTGCTAAAAAAATAAGATATTCTTGATTTTAAAAAGGCAGTGAACAAAGAAAAGTGTGCCAATGTGCGAAAATGACCTATGCCACCGTAATGATCTTAAAAATAATGCCCAAACTTGGACTTAAACTTCTGTTCAGTCCATGAATCATGAATATCAGTGGTCATACATCGAAAAAATATATAAAAGTGTAAAGTTTTAGTGAGCAGGTGTTCTTTGGAATCACAAGAATTTGATTTTATTTTTTAACTTTGCGTTGCTCTTTTGAAAATCTTCCAAATTGCACAGTACTATGTCATAACTTTGCCATTTTTTTGTCCGTTATCTATCCGTGTTTATTTGTGTAGCTCATTTTATAAAGAAGTTTGATCATCGGTGACATCAGGACATGGCCTAGTTTAAAATACCTCCTCAAGTTTTCAGGAAATTTTGTCTTGCACTTTCACTTTGTTTGGTGAAACCTGTTGCCATAACTACAATGCTGGGTTATTTCCTCTGTGTATTTTAACTTTTGGTGTTTTGTCTTCCTAAAACACTTTTCTCCTTGTGCCATTTTGTTGTTCTAGCTGTGAAGATTTTTGCTTTAAGTTGATATTCAATCTGCAAATGTAAAAATAAGAAAACTTGGCTGGACACATTTTAAGTTGCTGTAATTAGTATTTTTAATTGTTTTTTGCCTGTTGAGATTTTACGGTGATGGTAAAGCTTTGTGATAACAGGGTTGAAAGGTTTTCCTACTGACATGATTTTGGTTCATGTGACTTGTAGCTTGTTGTACAACACTATTTGAAATTAGTCTGCTGCTTCAACGGTTTCTCTTATTACAGAGAGCAAAACGTGATTAATTTAGCTCATAATTTTAGTGTACATAGATCATAATGATACTGACATTGGTCACTTAATTTGACCTGATTTTTTTGTAAATAAATTAAACGTTTGGTGCCATTTGTGATTTGAGCACAACCACATATCATGTTTACAGCAACTAGGAAAACACGTCTTTATTGTGGTAGATGTAGTGGATATTTGCACAGTTAAATGGACGGACCTTGAGTTTTAGATAAGCTTAAAACTGGAAAATTGTGTTTTAATTTTGTTAAAGATGCCAATTGTTCTCACTTTTATTTGTGATATGTTTAGTAGGAGTTTCTAGCAGTTTGTTCATTCACTTGTTTTTTTTTAGTTAGTGGTTTAATCATGACTCATTTACATATGTACCGCTTTCTAATCATGATCAAGGAATAAAAAATTATTTGGTTGTCAACTTGTTTTTTCCTTCAAGTCTGAATTTTGTGTTTGGAATGTTGACTTAAATTAAATGTATGTTAATTAATGCAGCTCACCAGTTTTGCAAATCTTTAAATGTTACGCATTGAACAACATTGTGGCAGAGGGTCTCCAGGGAGATGTTACAGCTTTGCCTGGAATGTTTCACGGTATGGCATTAAACTATCTCCACGAACAGGTGGGACTGTCACGTCACGTTACAGCTCAGAGAAAGAATGCATGTATTTCAAATTATGTTCAAGAAGTGTTTTTCTATTGTTGTCTATGGTTACTGTAGGGCAGGGGTCATCAAACTAAGGCCCACGGTCCGACTCCTGCCCGCCACGCCCCTTTTACTGACCCCCACCACTTGAACTGGCCCTATGAGGCAATCAAAAGTTGTCATGGCTTATTTTTTTAAATTACTACTTATTATTTATATGAAGTATTTCTCTTTATATTTAAACAATTATCTGACATATTTACATTTGCCACCGAAAACTTCACCAACTTTCGAAAGCGAGCGCCTCAGAAGGACGTCACATTTATACATTTTGGAACATTCACTGATTAAAATTTGAGCTTTGATGATAATTGTACTACTGTGTGTAAAAGAGTCCACCAGCGCCTTCATTGTTTGAGGAAATTCTCTTTTTACCATGTAGACAGAACCATGATGACACTGTTCTATAAAACGTTTATGGAATCAATTGGTCTCATGGTTTGGGAGCATCTTTCCTAAAAAAAATAAACTCCCTGAATCAGTTAAATGGGCGAGTGAGGTGATTGTCCATCCTCAGAGCCGCCTGGACTCAAAACAGTTACAGAGGATGTCCCAGAGTATTTTAAAAGACGTGCAAGATCCACTAAACTCAGAGTTTCAGGTGCTTCCCTCTGGTCAGAAGCTTTTAGTCCCAAGATTTAGAACTGTTTTAAAAGGAGCTTTGTTCTGGCTGCTATCACACTTATGAATAAATTGTAATCTATTTGTCTATCGATTTAAGTACATTTGTCTTAGAAAAAATGTGTGTGTGTGTCTTTTATATATTTTATATTTATTGTGTTTTTAGCCAAGAGTGATGGATGAATTTAACTAATTGTTTATGGAACAAAACATTCTGCCCTGGAGCTCTGTAACACTTTGTTTTGTGATTGTGTCTTCATACATGTTATTGGATATAATGTGGATGAATGAAATGTGAAATGTGGTACCAGCCTTAAATTTGCAAAACAAATTTACCTAAACGTACGAATGAATCAATCTAACCTAACCTGAATCTGCGCTGGATTTTCGTCACCTGACAAGCTCAAGATCAAACAGTGACAGTTAACACATGTGAAAATAAATAAATTAAATATCTATGGTATTTCAGATTAAAGCAAAGTGTGAAGTACTTACTACTTTTACAAATCACTTGTAACAATAAACAAATATGTGCCAGGAATTATGTGTTGATATTTTATTGTGAATGATTGTACCAGGCTGGTCATTTCTACTACACAATGAGGACTACAGGTGGTCATTTTGGTCTGGATCATATAATTATGTTATATGACCGACCCAACCTCGGTCCCACATCACAATCACGAGCGATAATGTGGCCCCCAGAGGAAAAAGTTTGGTGACCCCTGATGTAGTGATTAATGAGATGATGTTATTTGTTGTGTTTAATGTTTGTCCTGTCTTGTCTACACATGGGAAAGAGAGAATTTTGATTCCTTTTTATGTCCTGTACATGTGAAGAAAGAGACAATAAAGCTAACTTTGAACTTTGAAGCAAGAAAACACCTGGAATAAATCAAAAACACACCTATGGAACATACCAGGCTGAACACAAGCAGGTGACAGACCATCTACCAGAAAAGTTACAAAGCTCACCTTGTAATGTATGTTTTTTGCCTCTATAAAACACTAAATAAAGAAAAAAAATTTAAATATGTTATGCAGACATTTACAATATGAAGAATATAAGCCAAAACAAAATAGGCAGCACACTTTCCTTTATCCTACTTCACCCAGTAACAATTTCTCCCCAGACTGTGGATGTCAAAACATTTTTAGTGCCTCAGTCCTGCAGGAACCTCTGACAGATCCCTCCTAAGTGCATATAAGCGCTCAGTGTGTGTGTATGTGTGTGTGTGCGTGTGTGTGTGTGTGTGCGAGCTCGAGCTGTCAGACCCTTCTCTGTCAGTTTTCATGAAGCTCGTGAGTTTGGAGCAGCGCTGAGTTCATTAGAGCAGCGTTGACGTGAGCCTCAAACTTCAAGTGAAATCTCTATAGAGCTCTGCCTCCTGCTGCTGCATTCCTCTCTCCACATCACCGGTTTGTGGAAAAGAAAAATACAGAACAGTAATGTAGACCTGCTCAGTTATACGCAGCAGACGATATTAACCATTGTACCATCAGTGGCTACTGGTAAAATCACACAAACAAATAAAGGATTCACATAATTGGCAATTGTCTCTATTTTTTGGCACCATAACAGAATCTTTAGACATTAGACATTTATGTATCAGTAGAACATGTATTTCAGACTAAACTGCAAATCCCCTTTAAATTTAATCTAAATTTAATCTAATGTAAACAGTTTTATAAGATTTTTTTCCACTTACACTTTTTACTGAACATATTTTGTGGTGGTTGGTCATTTTTATGCCTTTTAATTAAAGATAGGTTACCTGGAGAAGCCGCGGGGTGGCGCTGTTGTTCTCCTTTTGACAGAGACATGAAAGGTCTGCTCCGTTGGAAACCATGGAAACACCGGATGTTTAATTAAGAGGATTTCACAATTAAAGTAGATAATTTTTTTCTTTAAATTGACATTTATCGTTACATTACGTATTTTGGGTCAAATATGCAAGTAGTTTATCAGTACATTTCATCATTACCATAAGCAAATTGAAAGGATTCTAGTTTTGTAAAGGGAATATGATACATACCTCGATACATTGCACTTTCGGTTTAATACGATATATTTCAAACCGATTCAATACAGTTCAATAAAAAAATAAAGGCTAAATGATGTTTGTGACACTAAAACTGTTTGTTAAACCGCTTCTTGTGCAAAGTTAATGTAAAACACACCCATTTTAACAATAACCAATAATAAAAACAGTGAAAATGTCAAATTTGTTGCATAAATGAGTTTTCTTCCTCTGAACAAGCGACAAAACTGTAGCGCTGTAACAAAATTATTTAGTAAAATATACCCAAAAATACTGTTGGCGATATATCGATACAGCAGACCACGATATTGATACTGTATCACCACATTAAACGATACGATATAACAATATTTTGATATTTTTGCACACTCCTAGTAAAGTCTCACTTGGATTGGTTGTAATGTTGCAACTAAGCATGTATTTTATAAGATGATGTATGTGGGGATATTTCAATTTATTTTTCAGTTTATTTATTTATTTATTTTCAGTTTATTTTTCATTTATTTATTTATTTATTTTCAGTTTATTTTTCAGTTTATTTATTTATTTATTTTCAGTTTATTTTTCAGTTTTTTTATTTATTTATTTCACTTTTTAATACAAAATCATAGATGAGCCTAGTTTTCCAATTTGACTGCATCATCTAAAATAAAATTAATTAGGCCTTCTTGAGATGGGATTTTAAAAGCTCATATCTTTGTGGGCATAGCTAAAAAAATATAACCTAACCTGTAATTATTGTGGGCCTCATTTTGGTATAATTATGTCAGGTTTATTGTGAAAACCGCAGACGGATGTGGCGCTTTTGTTTCGCGGTGACTTGATGCGCTTGGAGTAAAACCTCGGAAAGCGGTAGGAGGAGGACGCCAACTCCGGAGCACCGCGGACTGGAGCCAAACTGCCCCTCGTCGCGGACACAAGTGGCCGGTGCAGGCGGCTGTGGACTCGGGGTTATCGGAGGGAACACGGAGAGGACTGTAATGAACCGGGGCGATCCGTTTACTCACCGACTTTTTGTTTAGTAGCGCACCTGGAAGTTACCGCTCAAAACTTTCGCCGTCGGTAAGTGGTCCGTCTGGTTGGCCTGCCACACAGAGCGCGTTACCCACATGTCTCTGCCTTGTTCCTGGTAGTTTTTCCCAGGAACTAGTCTGTAGGCACCGCCAGGCTTCGCTCCCCGGGGACCCGCGCAGGTAACAGGGCTGGTCGGTGTACCTTTACGCACACACGGTGACGCACGGATCCTTTTGAAACTACTTTGTGGCCAGAGGCTGCAACCGTGGAGCGAAACCAAGGAGGCGCCGCGCAGCTGTAGAGAAAGCCGACGGTCAGAGCGCAGGAGCGGGCATGGATGTACCAGAGGAGAGCGGGAGACAGCGGGGAGAAGGCTGGAGGAAAGCGGCGATGAGGAGCAGGAAGATACCGGTGGATACGCTTTACGTCGTGGGCTTTATCTGCTTACAAGGTTGGTACTGAGCTGCTTTTGTGTTTTGCATGTCTTGAGCACTTTGATTTGGTTAATTTTACTTCATTTAGACACTGTTTTTAGCTGGAATAACGCTTTAATTCTTTCATTCATATGTGAGAAGCCGCGCGCGTTGCCTTGTCTCCTGTTTTGATGTGAAAGTTGTGGAGTACACGCCAATTGGACATTTGCAACTTTAATCAATCCACATTCTTGAAGGCAATGTAAATGGGAGTTTGTGTTGTTTTGGGGGACTTTAGAGGCCCCCTCCCCCCGCCATTGACCCCACACTTAGCGGGGGGTAGCAGAGAGAGACGGGGCACTGTAGTAGCCCATGTTTTGGAAGAAGGACTTTTTCCTCACTTTTGGACAGAGTAGTTTAAGCCAAATCTAGATATTAAAGCAAAATGTGTTTTTAAATATTTTCCTGTGTAATTTGCAGGATGGTTGCAGTTTTCCATGATTCAACCAACCCAGTGCTACTCAGCCATGTCATTATGTATTCCCCAGACTGTCCTCAACACACTGGACACGCCATTTCTGATTATCATATTCATAACTGTGTTTGCTGTTTTGAACTGCCTCCGCATCCTAAGCTCGCCATATCTCAGACTAAACCTCTTTCATAGTTTAAAAGCAGTGAAGTTTCCTATGAATATGGATGCGATATTTGCACTTTGAGACTAACTTCGTCATGCCAAATATGAAGTTTAATTTAAAAGATTATATCAAGACAAACCATTTAAATTGAAAAAGTATGGAGCAAGAAAGCTTTCAGAAATACTTGTGTACACAGGATAGAAATCCATGCATATTTGTCTGTAGTTGAGCATAAAATAAATATTCTTAAACTTTCAAATGAGTCCAGTTGTACATAAAATGTATTTTGTGTTTTTTAACCATCAGAATACAAATTGAAAAGTTACAACATCAAGAATCACAGTCATGAAATGAAAATTTATGATTACACTTTCTTCAGTATGAATACAAATTCATAGACGCGACTCGACTGTCAAAAATACATCATCACTTCACAGGGATTATTCAGTGAACAGAAGAAACATCGATCAAGATGCCAGACTTTTGTGCTGCATATGGACTAAATCAGGACTGATCCAATGACTGATCCAATGACTGATCCAATGACTGATCCAATGACTGATCCCAGGACTGATCCCAGGACTGATCCCAGGACTGATCCCAGGACTGATCCCAGGACTGAACCGGGACTAAAACAGGTCTTTATATGGTCTTTGATTTGTACTGAAGAAAGTGTAATCATAAATTTTCAGTTTGTGATTGTAATTCTTGATGTCGTAACTTTTCAGTTCGTATTTTGAAGGATAAAATACACACCATACATTTTATTTGAGAGTTTACAAACATTTATTTTATGCTCAACTACAGCCATATATGCGTGGATTTCCCAAATATGCACTGATTTCTATCCTGTGCACGTGAATATTTCTGAAAGCTTTCTTACCCCATAAAAAAGGTGAGTGCAAAACACATTTCCAAATTTCAAACTTTTTGCTGAACATGTCTGTGCAAATACATATGTTGTAAATAGTGTGCTTTATAGAAGTAATTTCCAAATATATTGATTACAAAAGTAGAAGTAAATGTAATATTGTTCTACATGTTTAAAAACTTTAAGGAAAAATGAATTGGCTTTGACCTGATGCCCTCCCACAAAGCTACAGTCTTAAGTTCACAACCCCAGTGCAGAGACAGCCAATAGAAGCTCCCTCCTGGTTTTGGGGGAAAAGAATGCTCTTATCCTGCCAACGATCGCCTCATTACCTCTCCACTCATCATGTCAAAACTCAGTCACTTTTATCTGATCTAACCATGCAGCCTGAATGGGAATAGCAGCACCCAGGACTGTATACAGCACTGGGGTCTTCAACACAAGCCTGATAGTTTAAAGTGGTTGAAAAATTCCTTAAGTGTGTCTGCCATCCCCCTCCTGTCTCCTCACGGTGCCCATTTTGGGATGAATGTGTCCTCTGTGTGCGAGCTGCAGGGGAGACCGGGCCTAAACATGCAACAGGGCTTCTGCGAATGTTTATAAAGCGAACAAGTAAAGAGCATAGCCAGGTGTATACTGTTATGGCAGCTTATAAAATGTCCATGCCTATTATCCATATGAAGTCTTACACGTGAGAAGAACTTTGTGGGCTGATGTTGACTGATTGTATTTTTGGTCATGAATTTGCCTCACTGGATTCCATTGTAAGCTTTAGTATTATCTTGGTTTGTACACTATACATCTTAAATATTAGCTATTAGGATTTTGTAAGAAGTTATATATATATTTTACAGCATGAATGTGACTTGGTTTAACGGAAATCTATTTTCTAATATTATAGAGATTAGGGTTCAATTTAAAATATGTGTGCTAAAGGTCCATAGGCACGTGTTAGCCAAAAAATAAACAAACAAAAGAACCATGGATAAGCTGCTGGGCCTTTTCCACTCACTGTCAGAATAGTTTTGAATCGATGCCAAGTAGTGTATTTATCATGTTAAAATCTCCATTGGTTTGGGATTGGTCTAACAAATGAAAGTTCTAGGTGTGACATGATCCCAGTGTAACCAATGTAAAGCCGATTATTGTCTATAAATTCACACAAATGCCCCAGTCTGACAACTGGAATCATGACAAATGGACTGATTGATTTATTGTGACATGCCTTTTGTCCACTCTACAAGAAACTATTTAATCAGTGAATCTTTTTCAGAGCTCTACTGTTGGCAGCAGTGCCAAAAGGAGTGGCATCAAAGTTGTTCATCAAAATAAACAGGGCAATTTATATCACTTTCCCATGATACATAAAGTAGCTCAAGCATACCGTTCAGATTTGCTGGTACTTTATTCCATAGAAAGTCAATGTAACATTTTAAGCAATTGTTTACTTACAAAACCAAATTATTTTACAGATAATCTACTAAAAGAAATCTCTCATTTTATTTTATTTAGCGTTTTGTAATCGCAACAAAGCAGTCAACATGTGATGCCAAGTTCAATAGTCATTTTACCTCTGCGGTGCTTCCAAAGACGTCACCCATAGAGAACAGAGCAGTGGAGCAAGTCATGGCACAAAAAACAGGAGTCAAGTTCAAAAAGATGTCCATTAAAACTGAATAAACAAATGTGAAAAATGACAAAGAACTGTAGCCATGTTGAGAAACCCTCCCCTGGCCTCAGATATAGCAAATCTCTCTTTTGTCATGCTGTTTTGTGCTTCATCATGCCTGACTATTGTGAGTCCACCGATTCTGGTAATTCGAGTAATGATCGGGATTATTGCCTCATACAAAATTAGCAAATGGTTTTCAACTGGGCGTGTTAAGTTCTTCAGTGGAGTTGTAGTAAATTCCATCATATAATGCAATTCTTTCTTGCAGTCACATAAATTAAATGGAATTATGCAAACCTGTTTTCATAACAGAGCAAGTTTGTTGTTTTTTTCCCAGTCAAAGTTGGCCTTTATGCTGGATTTGATAAACTAGCTTCTGTATTTAAAAGAATCATAACTTTTAGCTTATGTTATGCTAATTCATATATTATTTATTGCAACTTCTGTGTTTCTCATTTATACAGGAGACTATGGAGGCCCCGTAGTTTAAAATAAGATGGACTATATATTGGTAAAACAAAATTAGACTTTGCTGCTTATTGAATCTAGCCAGGCTGGTGCAACTTAGTGCCGTCGCTAAATTTCATTTCTCTCCAGCGACTAGGACAGGAATTAGAATACACTAGACAGTTCCCAAAAACCCCGGAAGTGCGAGTTCGGACACCAGACAATCAGCGAAGAGCCATACATTCTGTGTTGGCAACGATTCTCGAGATCGAGGATTTAAAGCCGGAACAAAGAGAATGTTTGGTGAATTTTATCAGGGGGATACATGTTATTGCCTTTCTTTCTACGGGGCTTGGGAAAAGCTTAATACACACACCACGACCACACATAGCAGTGATTGGTTAGATTAAAAAAGTACCTGTCTACTGTCGAGCGAACGAATCCTAATGCTGCGAGGTCAGACAGTTTCCACAAAGTGAAACCGGCTGATGAATCAGGCTACATGAATCATCAAAAACCGATGAAAGAAACTACACACTGGTCAAAAATGAGTGTTTACAGATTAAATCTAGGCAGTAAGTGACATTTACACTCCACAAATTGAATGAAATTAAATAATTCAAGTAAAACTCATTTGTGCCATCATAGTCTTAACAAAACCTATTGGAAACTTGCTTCTCATACCATTTTACTTTCCATATACCTGTTTCTAAGCTTAATATCCTCGCACTAACATGGGAAATAAACGCTTCATAATAGCTCCTGACCTCTCCGACCTGTTTTGGCTGTTGGTGATCAATTCCAGTCAAGTAAATAAAGAAAAATGTGATTGGAACAGCCAGGTTTAAGTGATGATTACTGACCTTGTTGACCCCTGAGCCTGCAACCCGTCTGTTTATGAAATCTGCTGTTTTCTCTGGTTTAGCTGAGACTATGTGGCCCTGATTGGTGCGGTTTCTCTCAGGTCTCAAATTCCTCTCTCCCTGTATTGGTCCCCTGTTTGGTCTGGGGGGATCTGGACTTGTTTATTGACTTGGTGCCTGGTTTTTCATGGCTGTAGTCTGGAGCTGAAGGAGGCTTGCATGCACCCTCCATTACCACAACTAAAACCCTTTGTTGTGCAGTGGGGTAGTTATGATCTGCTCGCTGTTGTACACCGTGTTTCAATTGGTCCTGGTGCCACGGTATTGTCGCAAACACGAAATTTTAACTCGAGCTGCCAAAACATACTTGATGACTATTGTAACTTCAAGCAGTGTATGAAATCTTGTTGTCACAATATTTTTTTCAATCTCAAGGAAAAGGCTTGATATTCAGTACTGATTTCAATACAGTGTTGTTTACAATACACATGTTTAATATTGCATGTGGTCTCATAGTTCTGAGATCAAGCCCATTATAAAACTATTC